TGCATTGGCCAGGGAGGTATAACATCTTTTATGAGTGAAGGAGAGCCAGATGTGAGTGTGGAGGAAGGGCTTGAATCAGTGAGTAGAATGAAAGAGGGGTAAAGCAGCTGGAACTGATGAAATCATAGCAGAAATGTTAAAAGCAGGTGGGGATAAAGTTTTGGAGTGGTTGGTACCTCTGTTAATAAATGTATAAAAAGGGGAAGGTACCTTTATATAAAAGGAAGGGGGACAAAACAGAGGGTAAAATTATAAGCGAATAAGGTTACTGAGTATCCCAGATGAAGTGTATGGTCGGATTATTATTAAATAAAATACAGGTAAGACAGAAAGCAGGATTGCAGACGAACAAGGAGGCTTTGGAATGGGTAGGGGATATGTAGATCAAGTGAAACATATAAGTGAACAACATTTAGATAAAGGTAGGGAACTTACTGTTGCTTTTATGGATTTAGATAAGGCATGTGATAGGATGGACAGGGAAGTAATGTGGTAGATTTTGAACGTGTACGGAATGAGTGGAATAGATAGTGACTAATGGTGTAAAGAGCTTTTTCGAAGATAGTGAGGTTCACGTTAAGGTGTGTAGGTGAGAGAGAGAGATTACTTCCCAGTAAAAGTAGGTCTTAGACAGGGATGTGTAATGTCTCCATGGTTGCTTGACATATTTATAGATGAGGTTGCAAAAGAAGTAAATGGCAGGGTACTGGGGGGGGGTGTGAGATTAAATTATGGGAAATCAAACACAAAATGGGAGTTGACACAGTTACTTTCATGCTAATGATACTGTGCTTTTGAAAGATGCTAAAGAGGAGGTACAAAGGTTAGTGGACGAGTTTGGGAGGGTGTGTAAAGGAGGAAAGCTAAAAGTGAACATAGATAAGAGTAAGGTAATGAGGATATCAAATGAGTTGGTAAAAAAAAAAATGGATATCCTTGGGATGGGGGGGGTAGGGAGGGATTGTGATTGAGTGGGTGTGTGTGTGTGTTGGTGTGTGTGTGTGGTGTGTGTGTGTGTGTGGTGTGTGTGTGTGTGTGGCGCGTGGGGTTGTGTGTGCTGTGGTGTGTTGTGGGGTGTTTGGTATGTGTGTGGGGTGTGTATCACCTGGAAAAGTTGAGGGTTAGTCCAGCTCCGGCCCCGCCTTTTCACGGCCCTCTGGGTCCTCCCCCTAAAACCGTGAGCTTTATCTACCCTGTTTAAAGCTATGTAGGACCCTGCCTCCGCTACTTCGTTCCCAAACATTCCACTTCCCTGACTACCCTGGGGCTGAAGAATACTTCCTAAATCCCTGTGATTCACTGGTTTTCAGTTTCCAACGGTCCCCTTGTTGCTGTCCCCACTCGGGAAACTCCTGTCTTTGCCCATTGTAAATTTCCCTTCCTATTTTGTATGTCGTTATCATGCCCCCCTATCTCTCCTGTCCTCCAGTGTCGTCAGGTTGTTTCCCCTTTAAATCTCCTCGAGGCATACCCCTTTTGCCTGGGATAGTTTTTTCAAACCCTTTTGCACTTTCTCTAGTTTCTTTACGTGCTTGGCTAGGTGTGGGTTCCAAACTGGTGCCGCATACTCCAATATGGGCCTAACGTACACGGTGTACAGGGTCCTGAACGATTCCTTATTAAGATGTCGGAATGCTGTTCTGAGGTTTGCTAGGCGACCAATGCGCAGCAGTTATTTTGTTGATGTGCGCTTCAGGAGATGTGTCTGGTGTTATACTCCCCTTAGATCTTTTTTCTTGAGTGATGTTTGTAGGCTCTGGCCCCCTAGACTGTGCTCCGTCAGCAGTCTTCTTTGCCCTTCCCCAATCTTCATGACTTTGCACTTGGTGAAGTTGAAACTCCAGAAGCCAATTGCTGGACCAGGCCCCCCTAGGTGTTCCACCACTCTTCTCCCGATAATCTTCTCCATGACTTTGCATACTATACATGTTAGTGACACTGGCCCTGTAGTTTAGTGCTTCATGCCCTGTCTCCTTTTTTAAAAAATTGGGACTACATTGCTGTCTTCCATGCCTCAGGCAATCTCTCTGTTTCGATAGATGCATTGAATATGTTGTTAGGGGTACACATGCGCCTCTGCTCCCTCTCTCAGGCCCATGGAGAGATGTTATCCCGGCCCATTGCCTTTGAGGTTTATCTAGCTCACTAGAAGCCTCTTCAATTCTTCCTGGGTTTGTATGTACTGTGTCCAGCACTTGGTGTTGGCCCCACCTCTCCGACTTTCTGGAGCCCCTTCTGTCTCCTCTGTGAACATTTTCTTTGAATCTTTTGTTGAGTTCCTCACATACTTCAGGGTAAATTTCTTGTTGTCTCTCCTCCTTCCTTCCTTAGCCTGATTACCTTTTCCTTGACTATTATTTTCCACCTGATGTGGCTGTATAACACTTTGGGTCAGATTTGGCTTCGCTGCTATGTCATTTTCATATTGTCCCTTGGGCCTCCTTCTTATTTTGTGCAATTTATTTCTGGCTTTTACGACTGCTCTCCTTATTCTCCTGGGGCCCCTTTTCCTTTTATATTTCTTTCCCTTCCCCAGCACACTTGGTTTTTGCCTCCTGCACCTTTGAGTGAATCATGGGCTCAACCTGGCTTTTTCATTATTCCTTGTTACCCTTAGGTACAAACCTCTCCTCATCCTCCTTGCACATTATTGCTACATATTCCACCATCTCATTAACGGGTTCCCCGCCAGTTCTCTGTCCCACTGAACCCCTTTCAGCAAGTTCCTCATTCCCCTGTAGTCCCCTTTCTTGTAGTACGGCCTTCATTCGCCTGGCCTTCCTGTTTCCCCTCCACTTGTAGTTCAACTGTGTATTCGAATTTTAAAAATTTCACATAAATCGCTGGCCCCAAAGGGTCTTTCATATGTTTTGCCCTCAATATCTCCCATTTACTCAAGGTGAATCAAAGTCCAGTTTGCGGGTTTCATCCTCTCCTCTCTTTTCTTGTAGTTTTCCCTTTTACTGTTGGTAAAAGAAGATTTTAGTACCCCCTTCCCATCATCTTAGCCCTATATGAATTTTTGGCCCCCAAATTTTGGCTCCAAAGGTTTCCCCAAATTGTTTTTCCCTTGGGGTTTAATTGGGGGGGGGGGCCCCCAGATCGGGAGTTTTTTTGCCCTGGTGCTGAGTTTCTTCGGCCACTGCACCCCCCCCTGTTTTGTTTTTTGGGGGTTTATACATCACTCCCAATTCCCAACTTGGGGGCCCTTTCCAGAGGAAGTTTTTCCTGTTTAGGTAAACTTCGCTTCTTGGGGGGGGGGGGGTCTTCCCCTCCAGCTCATAAAAATTCCATGGGTTTTTTTAAAAATCAGCAGTGGTTGTGTGTGTTTTGTGTGTGTGTGTGTGTGGGGTTGTGTTGTGTGTGTGTGTTGGTGTTTTGAAAATTTTTTAAAACAAGGGTTTAAATTTAAAAAACCTCTTTTGGGGGGTTTTTTTACAAACTATGAAAATAAATTGTTGAGAAAACTTCACAAAAATAACTCTTAACACCGCCATTTTAGAAAAAAAATCTTCGACGATAAAAAAATGCAAACTGTATTTATGATGGCTTAAAATAAGTTTAATTGTTTGATTGTCTCATTAAGTCAATATTTTGCAAGGATAGATAAGAGTCGTTTGTGTTAAAAATATTATACATCTATAATTCACAAAAAAAAATCAGTCATTTCATGGAAGTTAATCGACGTCCAACTAGTCAGTTTATTTTAATGTCTGTATAAACTCTGACACAATTCTGTTTAAGAGACTCAAATATCAACTGAGTGTTGAAGTTACATTCAAATAAATTAGTACAACTTGGAAATAATAACCTGAGGATTCACTTGTCAGCTTTATAATTTATATCTTACACATCATAGCACAACTTGGAGTATCTTCCCGCCTCAGTCTCTGTACAGTATTCAAACCAAACAATGATTATTAAGCAAGACGTTATCCGATGGAAATAAATGGTATAAAATACCCACATAATGGAAATATAAACACATATGCAGTATAATGTGATCCTTTATTGACAACGTTTCGCCCACAGAGTGGACTTTTCCAAGTCACAAACAGATCTGTTTGTGACTTGAAAAAGCCCACTGTGTGGTCGAAACGTTGTCAATAAAGGATCACATTATACTGCATGTGTGTTTATATTTCCAAGACATTATCCATAATTTAAGGAATGTTAAATGAATTTAAAACGTGTAATAGTGCTTTGCTAATCTTGCACAAGAAATAATAATTTTTTTTTCAATAATTAACATTAACTATTCTATAAATCCTTTAGCTCGAATTTAATTCTTAATTATTCTCAAAATTTAACACTCGAAATCATTTTGGTACTTGGAAAAACATTTAAAAAATCATTATTTTTAATGGAAGCGTCTACACGAAGACTAAGAGACGTCCATTGCGTCCACAGTGTCTTTGATGAGGACTTTGAGTATTATTTTCGGTCCCTTTCAACACTGTTTACCCTCTGCAGGACAACTTGGGGTACAAACAACACCACTTTACTTCCAGTGGTTCACTATTGGTATTAATCAACAGTACAAGATTTCTGGAGGTCCACCTCGGGCTATTAAACGAAGCTACCCACTTTCTGGTTTGCTACCTGGGGCACTAGAATCCACTACTCACCTTTTAGAGTCCGACCTAGAATATTAAGTAGCACTATCCATCTTCTGGAGGTCCACCTCGGGCTATTAAACGAAGCTACCCACTTTCTGGTTTGCTACCTGGGGCACTAGAATCCACTACTCACCTTTTAGAGTCCGACCTAGAATATTAAGTAGCACTATCATCTTCTGGAGGTCCACCTCGGGCCCATTAAACGAAACTACCCACTTTCTGGTTTGCTACCTGGGGCACTAGAATCCACTACTCACCTTTTAGAGTCCGACCTAGAATATTAAGTAGCACTATCCATCTTCTGGAGGTCCACCTCGGGCTATTAAACGAAGCTACCCACTTTCTGGTTTGCTACCTGGGGCACTAGAATCCACTACTCACCTTTTAGAGTCCGACCTAGAATATTAAGTGGCACTACCCATCTTCTGGAGGTCCACCTCGGGTACTAAGTAACTCTGCCCATCTTCTGCAGAGGATCTCTTCCAGGGCAACATTACTCAGTTTCCTATGACGATGTTGACGATCTTGGCTTCCTGCGTAACGATAATAACTTTAAATGTCACATACAAAGAGAGGGGATGGGGAGGGAGGGAGGGATGGAAGGGGTGATAAAATGAAGAGGAGAGAAGGGAGGAGAGATGAAGAGAAGGAAAGGAAAAGAGTGGGAGAAAAGATTGGATGGTGGAATGAGAAGAAAGAAACGAGGTTAGGAGAATGTGAACAGATGAAAATGGTAAAGTGGATGTGAGTTGGAGATAAGAACTGAGAACGAATGGTAGGGGAGGTGCGATAAAAAGTGAAATAAAGGAGCAGTTGTGGATAAAAGATAAAGCAACTGGATGGAGAAAGGGAGAGAGCAAGAACAAAATGAAGGGATGGACAGTGAAGATCTCAGACCTATGGGACAAATGGGGGGAAGGGGAGTTATGGGGGAGAAGAGGACGGAAAAAATAAAGGGTTACGTAAAGAACATTTGTCGATG